AAATAATTAATAAAAAGTGTTTCTTTTCTTACGCCTTCTCATTTGCTGGTAAAAAATATAATAAAAAGTGTTTCTTATGCCTTCTCATTTACTGGTAATTAACATGTACCTCTGGAATTAAAAAATCAAACAATTTTATTACTTTTTTATCTAAATTCATAATGTTCAATGGCTGAATTGCTTAGAATGGCCTGTGGTCACGAGAATCATCACTGAAAAGTTAACAATAAAAAAGAGTTAGTGCTAAAAGAATCAGAATCATCTAACACACTAATGACCAGAGTCAAAATAGTTATTTTCCAGAAAGCAAATATCTGTCAGATGTTATCTGGAAGCAAAATTCTTTAGTTTCATTGTGGAACAAAAAACACTTTAACCTCCTAAAAAAAGTTCAATTTGACCTTGGATTTCAGTGGAATCAGGTAACTAAGAACACTACTCTTAATAACAGATACTGTCAGTTTGTCCTTCTATAGATCTAGTTTGTACCTTTATAGTCATAGTTTTAGTGACTATTTACTTAATTTATAAATCTGGAATCCAGCAAGCAACTTAAATGGGCAAATACCTTAATGTCTAGATGTTATAAATGTTGAATCTTCTTCTTACTTGAAAATGGAATGCTCCACAAACTAGAAAAAAATTGAATAACTTACAAGGAATATATACATCATGAGCTGGCCTCGTGGTTTGTGTGTATGTGTATGCTGGTGTTATCTTTTAATCATCCACGTATTAAGAAATGATTGCACAAACTTAGTTTTAAGATAGAAAAATATCTAGAATTCATCTTTGTATTCCAGTTAGAAATTAAGCCAAATGTTTTAATTACAGGAAATTCTTGTATGTCAAATTCAACTATATCATCCACTGAGTAACTGAAAGCACAAGAAAAGATAAAGATGCACAATAGTTAAAAAAAATCACCACAGCCAATGCAGTGAAGAGTTAAAAATATTCAAGGAAGGCGTGGTCAACGAATGGGAATCTTTTCCCCCAGCTTAAGTAAGTGTCTGCGTGCGTGCGTGCGTGCGTGCGTGTGTGTGTGTGTGTGTGTGTGTGTGTTTGGAGGGAAGCTACAGTCTTACAGGTAGGACAATATCCTCCCTACTTTATCTCTATTTCAGACTGCTAAAATGTAGACTCCTTTCTCACTTACTTGTCCCTGGTTTTTGTACATATGAAAACAAGCAAGTGCTGATTCAAAACACTTACAGCTCACACCAACCCCAAACAGATTAGCTCTGGAAATGACTCAGCTAATCAGCAATTTAGGATTAGCCTTGCAACTGGTTCTTATCTGTTTATAGGCCAGTGATGCAAACGAATTGTGTGGGGATTTAAAAATCTGAAAAAGCATGTCTTACCATCCATATCAAAAATTAATTTGTAACAGCAGGATAAGTACAAACTACCAGCACTCAAGTTTACAGGTTGATGATCCATAAACATCTCATTGTGCCACTTCATTTTCCAATTAATTACTGAAATAAAAATGCAATGCAAATGTACTGCAAATGCACTCTGGTAGCCTCTGGTGAGGATATCAATTCTCAACAGAAGACCATTTATGAATGAGAAAATGTGAAGTAGATATACAAAAAAAGTCTTCCTATTTTGCTATTCAATTTGATTAAATTTAACCAATTTTTACATTAAAAAGGAATTGAACTACTACGTCATTTTATAATGTAGCTGTTACATCAAATTTGTAACTAAAAATTAAGCTGTTAAATTTTAAGAAACATTTGCTTAACCCACAAAGTTTACCTGGATCCAGGTAATAAACCATAATATAAAAACGCCTTTATCTAGAAATACCACTTACTTTAAGAAAAGATATCTGGTGTTCATGGAATGGAAGAATTAACAGTGTGAAAATACCCACAGCATGGTGTGGTATAAAAAGAGACAGAATCACAAATAGAACAAGATAAAAAAATCTGGAAATAGATCTCCAGATTTATGGTCAACTGACTTTGATAAAAGCAGCAGGAATTAACATTGGGAGACAGGGCAGTCTGTCCAGTCAGTGATGCTGGGAAAACTAGATATACACACTTAGAAGAATGAGACTGGACCTTTATACCAACTTTTAAAAAACCATCATCAAATTATAAAAATCATCAAAAAACTTGAATATAAAATCTGAAATTGTAATGGTACTAGAAGAAAACACAGGGAAAAAGTCACATGACATTGGTGTGGGCGATGACTTTATGAATATAACTCTGAAAGTACAGACAATAAAAGCAAAAATAGAAAAGTGGTACTAAATAAAAGACCAAGAGAAACAGTTGATAAACTGAAAATACACACTCATAAAATTGGAGAACATATTTGCAAACCATACATCTGATTATGTTTATTATCAAGGGTAATAAGTGCTAATTCAATACCAAAAAATACATAGATCAATTTAAAAATGGGCAAAGAACCCAAACAAACATATCTAAAAATATATAGACCATAATTACATGAAAAAATGTTCAGCGCATTAATCATTAGAGAAATACAAATTAAAACTACAATGAGATGCTACTACCTCACATCTGTTAGAAAGTTTTCATCAACCAGATGAAATATCAATGTTGGAGAATATAGAGAAAAAGAAACTTCTTATATATCATAGTTCAGAATGTAAATTAGTACAACCATTATGGAAAATGGTATGGAGCTTCTTCAGAAACCTAAAAATGGAATTATGGTACCACCCAGTAATCTCTCTTTGGACTATCTAGCCAGGGGGACTAAAATCAGTAGTATCTGCAGTCTCATGTCTATCACAACAGTTATCATAACAAGGGTATGAAATCAATCTGGCCATGACTAGATGAATGGATAGAGGAAATGTAATATATATACAATAACAGTGAAGAGCGCATCATTTCTAACAACATGGGTGGAGATGGAGGACATCACGTTAAGTGAAAAGTTGGGCACAGGAGAGAAGTGCCATCTGATCTCACTTACACATCTAGTAAAGTTTAGGCACAGAAATAAAGAGGAAAATGACGTTACCAGAGGGTCCAGTAACAACAGAAGGGGAAGGAATGTACAGTTGTTAATCAAAGGGCACAAAACTTCAGATGGAAAAAAGGAATAGGATTTGAGATCTATCATATAACCAGGTAATCAGAGTCAATAATCCTAAATATATCTCAATCTATGAAAATAAATGGAAAATATCTCACCACAAAAAATGCCACGTGAGAGAGATGATGTTTTAATCATGCCACATCATATACACAGATCAAAATATCACGTGATAGCCAATATTTACAAGTTATAATTTGTCAATAACAGTAATATGAAAATTTAAAATAAAAATAGAGGTCTTTAAAGGGTCATTTTATAAAATGAAGATTTATTGTAAGAGAACTACCTGCCTCTAAGTATTTTAGTTTAAGAAATGAAGTTTCCTTAAACTAGTACACACTTCTCAAGCTCATTAAAAAATAATGAAAAAATGGAAAAGTCATTAACTTGACTTTCTCATTAACCCACTAGCACCCTTGAAGACAAGCACTACAGTCAATGACCCATCCCATGACAGAAATACAAGCAAACTCTTTTTAGACTTCACGTCTTGGGGAGACCTGTGTCTCCACAGCAACCAAGGCACGTCTACTGCCACTCTTGGGAACAGCGGGTACAGGCACAAGCGACCTGGCCAAGGCACCAGCCAGGACGCCCAGATGTAATGGATAAACTGGCTTCTCCCTGCTACCTTCCAACTCAGGCAACCAAGAGAGCAGCAGTCTCCATCTTTCCCACCTCTTCGAGTTCCATTTGCACTTAAAAGTACACTGCATGCCTTAGAAGCCAAGCTTCCAGGGTCAATTTCCAGCACTATGAGAAAAGATTAGGATAAAACAGAATCCAACAACTAAATCTTAAAGCACAATACTGAAAATTTATCCCTTCGCATCACTGCTAAAATTAGCAGCCTTCACTACTGTTCATAGCTGGCCACACACAGACTGCGGAGAGCTTTCAAATACAGTGTAAAACCTCATTTTGAATGAAAAGCCCCATTTTATAAAACCAATGATTTCAGTTTCCATTCAACCATAAGCAACATAACAGGATTGTGGAAGTTTTTATTTTTATTGTTCTGTTTTGATTTTGCTTTAGTTTTTGTTTTAAGAAATGTTGTCTCTGTTGAGTTCAAAGTGATTTCAGAACCAAGATGCAGAAAATTAAGCCTCATTTAAAAGGCTTAAAAGCTTAGGTTTAGTGCTGCCTCAGCAAACATAGCAGGTGTCGTGCTCCGAAACCAAAGGAGGCCAAACACACCTGTTCATTTTAAACAGGTGCATTTACATGACCCAGAAAGATAGCTCCTCTACTGTAAAAGGGCACATCCTTTAGAATATGCTTAAGGGACTTTGAGACAGTAGATGGGCTCTGAGTGAATAGGAAAGGGATTTATTTAAAGAAAATACAAGTCACAAATTGATGCTACCACCACCAATATAATGGAAGAAAATCCTCAAGGTAAAAGGCCACGTATAGGCATTGACGCAAGCCAGTCTCCAAGCCTACTACGGGGCACCACGTTTCTTTTTAATAGTGTTTTCATAATGAGTATTTATCCCTTTCTGAACAAGCTATTAACTAGAGTCAAAAACCATTTGCATCCTATTCCACAGGTGAACCCTAGTAAGAAATGGCATAAACTAGGAAAACACTTAACTTCAAAATGAAAAAAAAAAAAACTGTATTATCTCCAGCACTCATAGAATTTGAGTCAGAGACCCAAGGCATTACTGTTACTCTTCCTCTCCTGCCCCTTTACCCTCAACTTTCTTCCGTCATACTTGCCTACAATAAAAACAAGTCAAGGAAAAGAAACACACTTTATGATTTCAGGGAGGATGTCCTCCCAACCCGGCCCTCAGCTAGCACCTGCACTAGCATGGCTGGAAAGCCCTTTATCATTCATGGATCTGCTCAACTGCTCAGGGAAAGCCATTCCGCAGCGCGTACTGACCCACCGTTCATGCCACTGTAGACACTGCGATGATGGGGTGATGCATCCTCCTGTGCCTGCCGTCTGAGGGTGCCCTCCCTGCTGCCTCCACCACTGCCTCCGCCTGCTACATGTTTGTGATCGGGACTCCCCCCGTAATGCTGTTTGAGATGCTCAGGGCTAGTGCCCCTGGCTCTGGGTAGGTGTTCCAGGCTCCCCCCAAGAGCGTGTTTCTGAAGATGCTCCGGGCTCCCTCCACTGTGCCTGGCATGTTCCGGGCTGCCCCCGGGCCTGTGCTTCTGGAAATGCTCGGGGCTCCCACTCAGCACGTGTTTGGGCAGTGTTTCTGGGCTGCTTCCCGGATGTGGATGCCTTTGCTGCTCTGGACTTCCCTTACACAAGGGTTTGTGGTGCTCAGGACTGGGTCCTTTGAGAGCTTTTGAGTGATCTGAGGTCCCAGAGGCCCTGGGTTTCTGCAAGTGTTCAGGGCTGGTACTCCTGTGCTTGGAGTGCTCTGGGCTGCCCTCACCTCGGGGCTTCTGCAGATGCTCTGGGCTACCACCGCTCGCATGGTGCTTGTGGTGGTCAGGACTGTCAGTGCTGCCGGTGCTGGAGGTGCTGCTGCCGTCTCCCACGTCCCGCACATAGGGCGCCGTGGAGGCTGTGAGCTGGCACAGGCTGGCCTGGCTGTCGATGGAGCAGCGGCTGCCTGCGCAGCCCGCACCCTTCTCCTCATCCAGCAGCACACAGAGCTCCTTGAGTTCCATATTCTCCTTGACCACTTCCTCCTGCTTCACCTCCAACTCCTTGAGCTTCTGCAGGTATAAGGCCACTTCCTTGTGCATCACCCCAGCTGTGTAGCGGCCCAGTCTCTGCCACTCCCGGGACACCCTTTTTCCTTTCTGCCGGTCATCGTCCAAGAAGCAGCAGAGATCCCTCAGTTCCTGGTTGTCCTCCTGGAGCTTCTGGTTGATATCCTGAAAAGAGAGAGACAACCATTCAAGGGAGGAGCTTGTAGGTGATTTCACGCTCAGACACCTCAGGTCAGGAGAGCCTGGAACTGGTGAGTTCTCTGGGATGCTAGGAGAAGAGGGAAAGATGGGAGGTAGCCGAAGGTATGTAACGATGCATACACCCATGAGCGTTGAAATAACAGGTATCATTTTTGTTCCCTGCATAAAAATATTATTTCACCTAAGTTTCACCAAAACACTTAGAAGACAAAAATTCCCATTATTTTATGGGAGGGAAAATTGAATCTCACTACGCTTCACTTGTCCAGGATCACCCAGTCAGTATTCAGGGAGCAGCCACTGAAGTAATTAAAAATTAGTCCACAGCAAACAAACATCCTTCCATACACTCTCAAAACACCACGGCTGCTTTAGACCTATCAAGTATCCAAATGCTCTATGCCCAAAGGTCTTTCAATCGCGTCAACGAAGCACTGCTCAGTTGTTCAGCCTGTGACATGGAATGAGCCCCAAACCCCCAACTAGGGAAACACACAATTGCCCTCTAGTGGCATTTTAATAGCCACATCCAACCCCTCTGCGCTGTACCACATGAACACCGTGCTGAACTCTTGATAGTAAACACCCTCCCCAAGAAGCACCTCTCAGCAAACACCAGACCCACCTGCATCACTGCCCCTTCCAAGAAGTGGCTGGCTACCTTCTCTCTCACCTTCCACTTCCAAACCAGTCTTTGAAAAGTGACCTCTAGAATTTACTGCACTGTGGCACTCCCACATTAGAGACCCTTCAGTAGTGTGTCACTGCCTAATGATAAAGTGTGGACTCCTTAACTTCTCAAAAGGCCCCAAGTGATCTGACTCAGTGTGTTCACTGATAAAGACTTAGTAAGCATCTACTATGTACAAGGGACAAGTTCAAGTGCTAAAAATGTACTAGATATACCAGACACCATAGCAGAAACGTCACATGCCAGTTTCCATTCTAGTGGAAGAGTCTCAAAAAAAAAAAAAATATGTGTGTGTACATATATGATGTCACATAATGAAAAGCGCTGGGGAAAAAACTAATGAAAGTTAAAATTTTTTTTCAAGAAAAGGCAAGAATTGAGCAAACATCTGGCTACAATGAAGGTGAAGACAATTGAGAGCAGAGATAGGGCAAGTACACAAGCCCTGAACAATGAGCTGGGCAAGGAGGCAGGAGAGGCCTCAGGGCCTAGGTAGAATGGTCAGGGCGAGGTCAGCCAGGTGACAGACCTTGGTGTGCTGAAGACCCGGGTTAAGAGATTCATTTTCCAAAGAACTGCCTCATTTCTGGGTGGGAAAGTGACTGCCTAGGGTCAGGAGGAGGAGAAAAGCGAGTAAGATGGGGGATAAGGTGGAGAGCAGGTGACCAGGAAGGACACTGCAGGACTGTTCAGGCAGGGGATTTGGGTGGCTCAGATGAGTGGCTGAGCATTCCGTGCCGAGCACCACCGATCCCAGCCTTGATGCAGGCCCAGGGGGAACCCTTCTCTCCCTGGCAGCGCCTTCCCAGCCTTGCATCCAACCACAGCACTAATTCTATGCTGCTCCTCCACAGAAGCCATTCTAAGGAAGAGCCGCCTCTGCCCGTCAAAGTGGAAGTGGACCCTTCCACCTTTCCGCTGGGTGCCTATCACAGTGTCACAGATGCGTGTATTTGTCTGTTAGTTCAAGTCTCCATCCTCACGGAAGCCAAAGAGAATGGAAACCTCGCCTCCTGCACCTTCCTATGTAGCTAGTCTCCACTGTGGACACCTGACACTGGAGGGTTTTAAATATATTGTGACACTTCCACTTCTCCTCCATTCACATATAGAGTAAAAGCAGCACCATGATCAGAAATGAAACAGGGTCAGCCATGGGCTGCTGCCCAGGACTTACACTGCTTCACGAAGCCGAACAGTCTCTGCTTTTAAACAACTGTCTTTCCTTCTAGAACTACAGATACTCAGAAAACGGACTTCCTTTTGTTAAACGTGAGTTGATTCCAACATGTCCCCTGCTACTGAACGGAAAGTAACTTTTCATTTCCTGACAGTCACAAAGCTCAACATGGAAAAGAATTTCAAGACCCACGAAATTAGTTTCCACTCATCTCGAGTCCCAACTCTTGGCATTATGACCAACTCTCTCTCTCTGTTTCTAATGCCCACTGCCTTTTGCTTTCCATGGCTATTTTATGACCTTAGGATTGAGCTTCACCAACAGCCTCCCATCTGGCTTCTCTGCCTCAGTCTGCCCATTTATCTTGTCTGGCCTGCTCTAATCCAAGCACCCCTCAGCCAGACTGATCTTCAGAAAGGGTCCCCACATGTTTTGCGCCTCCTGCTCACCAACTTACAGAAGCTCGCTTTTCATAGGGAAAATGAATAGAATCTTTGGCTCCACCTGAAAAACATTTTCTACCTCTGACTCCCTCTCCCTCTCTGTGGACAAATTAGGAGCATTCCAGTTAGAAAATATCCTCTTCTCACTCATATGGACTTACCTAAAATGATTAGGTTTCCCCTGAGCAGTCCTCTGGGCATCAGAACAATGCCACAAATATGCGTAAATGAATGAGGTAACCGTCCCACTCACTGCTTAATGACGATAACATATTTCAACATTCACTGGACAGCAATTTTTTCTCACATAGGTATCTTAGCTTATGAAAGAAAGATTTCAAATGTCTTTCTTTGTATGCAACAAACCTACCAGAGTGCCTTTTATACAGTAGACACTTAATATGTGTTTATGGACTGACAATACTTTAAAGCCCTTGGCTTGTTACCAAAACAGATATTTCTCCTATTATTATTCAGGAAGCCCCAGTTAGGTTGGAATCGACAGTAATAAGAGGACAAATTATCCTCTGATATGATGCTTTAGAGGCAATCAGAAGCTATGACTATTCAAAGAAAATAACACCAAACAAAATTAATCTTCCTAAGCTTCAAAATATATTCAACACTCAATTTAATCTTGGAATTAGACAGGAAAAAAATCATGTTCTTCCTTCATCTGAATGAATTTCCATCTGAAATACTTTCTTTTGACTCTCAAATGTTAGTCCATGTGTCATGTGCTCCATGGAACTGATGAAGTCTTTGCAGCATTCCAGACAGGGGCCCACTCAACTTTATCACAGATCCTTCTTCCTATTTTCAACTTTCTTGAGAATATTATTTACTTCCCAATTTAAAGCTAACCCCTTCCCCCTTTGATGAACAGCTTAGCAACCTTGAGAGCCAGCTTCTTTGCGTTTGCACATTAAGATCTGGACTTTCTTCTCAAACCACCAAGTGCTGTTTTAACATCACCCCAGGCCACCAGATGTTACCAAAGTGTCTAATGTGGCCTTCCATGCACATGGTAGAATACTACCCAAAATTTCAATCTTGTGACTGCAGAGCATCAAGAACTGTTATCAGTAAAGGAGGGCTATTTTAATTCATTCTTTTTCTCCATTACAGAATGAGTGAGACAAGTTGGGGGCAACTAGGAAAATTAATGCAATGCAGACAATAAATCTACAGAGATTTTGTTGCCCAAAATCATTTCTCACCAGCATTCTGGGTCACAATAACAGTCCAAAGAACCCAATGCCTTATGACATCAGCACCCTAATCAAAATGCCCTTTCCTCTTTCCTTTGGGTCTTCACATTCTAAACAAAGAATATCAACTAGCTAAAAGACAAGAAAACCTAGGTTGAACATTTTGTATCTGTGTGACCTTGAGAAATCTATCTAACCTTCCAGAGGTTTCTGCATCTATGTATCATTTAACACTCAAAGACTTATATGGAGTTGGAATTAAAGCCCCACTAAGCCAATGAGAAAACTAAAGATTAAAGAGGTTAACAGTTTGCCCAAGCTAACCAAATTTTACAGCTACAGTTCTGCCTACAACCTTAAAAATATTTGGATGTAATCTCAAAGACAGTTCACAGAAAGGGGCATTGAAGCTACCCAGGGATGATGCAAAAAGGAGTAGGATCTGGATCAGAAAGTAACCAGCTGTCATCACTTCTGAACTTGATAAGGGAAGAGGCTAGGAAGTCTTCAATGCCAGCTCATGGATCCAGACCACAAAGACTTTGTTACTTGGGGTGTAACTGCTCTTAACTGGCCCCAGAGCTGTTCTCTAAATGATGCCACTGGAGTGAAACCCTGGTACCCCACCACTCGGGGCTCTCACATACAGATCTTCACAGCCCACAGCAACATGAAAGAATGTTCAAGAATTTGATTTATTGTGTTGATTCGTCATATTATTAAAATCTTTAAGAAATTTAAAACTGTTCCAAGTGACATTATTGTTCACATCATTTAAAAAGATTAAACTATAGGCTAAAAAACTAATACCATGGTCCAGTTTTACCTAAGAAATGAAGGCTATGCAGTTATTTGACCTTGCCTGATGACAATAGCCATTATATTTTGTAGTCAAGTTTAGTACTAAATCTTCCCCTACATTATTAATTTATCTGCACAACACCCTGGAATTATCATTTGCATTATCCTGATAAATAAAATAAGAACCTGACAAATTACCCAAGCTCACCCTCCTGGCAGACTAGGTTTCTAGACTCCAACCCACTTCTAAAATCATCTTCCCCCATTCCAGCCAGCCTCTATTCCCCAAACAGTCTGGTACTTAATAAATACCCCATTAATAATGAATTAAAATAAAAGAGAAATCAAGGCTTGGGATTTTCCGTCTGGGGGCTCTTCCTAATTGCAGCAACTCTAGGGACCACATGACAGACAGTTGGGAACCCAGGGGAGAGCCATATCCATTTAGGCTGCGTGCAGCACGCAGGTGAGTCCGGGCATCACGCACCTGCCCCTGCTCTTTGTCCCAGAATCCCAGAAGGAGAGCCCCCAGACAATTAAGGAACACAGTCTACGCTGAAGAAGCGGGGTGGGAGTGGAAAGGGACAGGAACAGTTTGTGCCTGCGGGAATTTGCTCCCCAAGGTCCCCGCAGGTATTTCGTTTGTGTCTGGCTTCCTATAAACAAAAGCAGAACAATGAGAGGAAGGAATACCGGGAAGCACCAGGCGAGCATGTGGAGAGGAAGTTTGCAGCGTCTGCCGGCCAGCAGGGCGGTTCCCGGCCACCGGTCTACTGCAGCCTGGCAGACACAATGCTGGCACTCAGAGCTCTCCAAGGAGAAAAGAAAGTTAGTGGGATTAGGGGTCCCTCCTCTGCTAATAGCAGAGGGATGGTTGCCTAAAAAGAAAGCATCACTAAGGACGACACTTTGGGACACCCTGTCAAAACGCTGCGCCTTCCACAGAGTCCCCGGCCTTCCCACCGGATTGCACCTCCCATGCTGGATAAAATTAAAATCAGACTGGGTGTGAACTAGTATGCAATTCCAGGTGGCCCCAGCCAAAGGAAGGCAAACCAAAGCACAGGAGCTAGATTCTGCAATCTTTGAAGGGCTCCTGCACCAGGTGACACACACCGGCTCCAAGGATGGCACCTGCTGTCTCTCTCCGGGCGCCCCGCCAGCCCGTCTCCTTGGCTGAGACGCCCTTTGTATGCCCTCTACTCACCAGGAAGTTGGTGGCGCTAGAGCAGCCTAATCCCTGACCCCCAAAGGCGAAGCTGCCGGGACCTGCTCCCTGGCTCGCCTCCTCTCCTGGTTCCCCATAACCCGGCTCCTCAATGCGTCCACTGAGGTTCTCCAGGAAACTGCAGGTTCTGAGGGTCACCCATCTCCTTCCTGGACCTTCCCCATCCATGGCAACCTTTCCTCTCACCTTGGAGATACCCGAGCGCTTGAAGCCATCGCGCCCCGTGAGGGAAAAGGAAGTTTGTAAAACTTTGCCAAGGGCTGGGGATGGGGCTCACGGGTGCTGCCAGGAGACAGAAGAGGTTCACCTGTTGATGGAGGGAGGGAGGGAAAGTTTGCCGGCCCCGCCCGGCCGAGCCCCTGGCCCGGCTGCGCTCACCTTGAGCCCGCGGATCTCGCCGAGGTGCAGCTGCAGGCGGCGGTTCACCTCGCGGATGAGGTTGCTGTGGTCCAGCATCGCGCTCACCTTCTCGGCCTCGGCGCGCCGCAGGCTGCGGATCAGCTCCTCTTTGCTCCACTGGAGCAGCTCCTCGTCCGACACTTTGGATAGATCCTCCACGGCGGCGGCCGCAGAGGAGCCCACCGGGGTTGAGGGACAACTTTCCGCCGCCGCCGCCGCCGCCGCGCCTCCGGCCGCCTTAGACATGGTATCCGCGCGGTGGCAGGTGCGAGTGGGTGGAAGAGGCAAAGCGACTCGCCAGGGCGCGGGCGCGGGCGCGGGCGCGGCGGGGCCGCCTCCGCCCGCAGCCTGTGCGCTCAGAAGTCGCGGGCGCCGCCCGGGGCCGCTGCGTCGGGGCGGCGGGGCTCGCTCAGGGCAGCCATCCTACCTCGCCATCCCCGCGCGTGCACCCGCGAATCCCCAGGGCCGGGCGGATGCCCGCGGATGGCTGCCTCGGCCCGTTCCAACTCCGCGCAAGTCCATGATGCTGGACGCCGGGGAGCCGGGACCGACGCTGCAGAGCCTCGGGGGTCCCGCGTGGGGAGGCCTGGGGGCCTGCGCCTTAGCCCGAGACTGTGCCCCCCCGCGCACTCCTACACAGGCGCACGCACTTGCGCCCCTTCCCAGCTGCAGCCGCTGGCTCCTCCCCTCGGAACCGCGCCGGGGCGCGGGCTGGGCTGCGCGGCGCCTCCCCGGCTGCTCCAAGGCGCGCCGCGGCTGCCCGGAGGGCTCGGCGCGGCCGTCGGGCTGCGCGCCTCCAGCCGCCTCCGTTGCGCCCGCCGATGCTCCGGGGCTGCTGCGGAAGCCTCCAATTTGCCAAGCTGAGTCAAGGGCTGGTGGATGGTGGGGCCCGACGGGAGGAGGAGCCTAGAGCGAGGGACGCCCCCCAGCGCCTCCCGCGCGTGCCAGACGCCGCTGCGGCTCGGCTGCCACCGGGGTCTCCACGCAGCCACCGCTGTCCCGCCCGCGAGAGCAGGAGGAGCGGCGCTTCGGGCCGGCGCGGGTGGGGTCGGGGTGATGGTGATCAGGTGCGCAGCGCTGGCGGACCTGCTCTGGCTGGCTCGCGCGCGCCACCGTGTGACCGAAGACTCTCCCTCCTCGGCCGCCCTACACCACCCGGCCCTGGGGTGGGCTGGGCGCTAGCCTGGGTGTCACGAGGCAGGGAAACAGCTGCCTAGCAAAATGATGGGTTCTCATTTGCAGGGATTGGGGATCAAAAAAGATGACGTAATAAGACCGAAGGAATACCCAGACTTGCGCCCTTTAGAGAACGGGAAAGAAGTAAATACAAAAACCAAAGAAGAGGACAGAAAGAAAATTTTAATGCTGTGAAAAGGAGAGAAGAGATTCAGGGCACTCCTCTACGGGGACCACCTACACCCGCCACCAGGCCTTCCTTGTCTCCTAAAACTCCACCGCACTGCAAGGCAGCTGCAGAGGGAACGTCCTGGGGCTCTTAAATTTTCTATTTGAAATACATCAAAGCCTTTAGGAGAAACTAAAATGCCTCATCTGTTCCTTTCTGCGGGCACAGTCAACTGCCCTCAGAGCAAGCCAAGGCTCCCTTCAGCAAGCTGCAATGCCAGCCAAGGAGATTTTCGCTTTCCTGTGTGCCCCAGGCTGCCTGGCTCACTGGGTTAGCTCTTTTATGATGGTAATGTGTGGAAGGAGCAATTCTGAGGCTTGAGGTTCTAACTCTAGGCTACCCTCTGGGGAAGTGGCCTGGCATCAGCTCTCAGTAGAAAGCATGCGTTTTGCCTGAAGAAATGGGTGCACGAGGCCCTTGGATGACAGTATGTTACAAAACTAGAGAGATCTGTCGTCTCCACACACACACTTCAGTTAATCAGGGTATAGAGGGAATCATCTTCATCTAGTAGGCACAGAATCTAAATCACAGTCCCTCCACCAGCTGGTCAGTGTGTAGCCCTGATAGAGCTGCCACCTTGTCAAAGATGGCCAGGTAGGGGCTGAGACCTGGCTTTCTTGGAAGCAAAGAAAGCTGGCTGACCCAGATGGCCTTAACATTCCCCTCATCTTGACTAAACTTTACAGAGCCTTCTACCTAATGGTGGGCCCCAAACTTCCCTTTTCTCAGAATATTTACCTTAGCAGACTTTCAATTATAAATTCTGTCACTAGTACAGCCACTGATAATGAAGCCTGTTTCCTTGTGTTTGGAGGAAACTCACCCCAGGGAGGGGATTTCTGCATCAAGATCAAGTACAAGGGCTACACGAAGGCAGTGCCCAGCAGGAATGGACCATGCCATCCACTTCCTGGGAAAGTTGTCAGGTGCCTATCCATTTTACCATTATGAAATCTATGATTTAAAAACATGTCTGGACACCACCTTTGAAGGAAAAAGAGTGCTTTTTATTATATAAATCAGTGTCTTCTTTTTGATATACCATTGTTTTGATATACCATCTTAGCTGGTAGGTTTTCCAGTGTCCCTGACTCAGATAGCCAGTGTATCATTGACAGAAGTTCCTGGAAAGAGTCTTTCTGCCCTCGGAAAAGTGAGCTAGCAGTGTCTGGGTGACCGTGTAACACTCCACCTAGAAGAACATCTTGTGTTCTAGGTTTTACATCTGCTCTTTATTGAAGACAAACATTCACCAATAAGGAGCAAGGAAACACAGTTTTGAAAGAAACTAATCTTTGACAAGAGTATTACTTACTATTCTGGCCTATTAAAGTTTCCTGCTTAGTATTCAGGAGAAGAATTCTTTCTCTAACCAACATGTTAAGGCCTGACCCTTCCCCCACATCTTGTCAGTTTTACCTCGAGAGTGGCTTGCTCAGGGACAGGGACAGGGGTGGCTTCCCTTTGGAATGTAGTCAAGAAAGGTTACACCCTGTCTCCCAGTCTTGGAGCTGACAGGGGCCTCACATCAAAAGAGTTCCCGTGCGCACTCACGGATGACCTCATTCCCTTGACCAGGCTCGCTTCCCAGCATCCTCCAGGACTTTCCTACTATCTCTTCTGTGCTTGAAACTCCATCTTTTTAATTCAGAGGAATTGCTCAGACTCAGCCTCCCTCATTACAGTGGTCTTGCATGTAGTCTTTCTGGCCTGTTCATGACTGAGGCTACTTTTCTGTGATACCTTTTCCTGAGGCCCACAGAAGGCTCCCCTCAACAGTCTCGGTACAGGAAGGGTAAGAAAAATAAACCTCCTGTCTACTGTTTGTTCTTGTCCTCAGATCATCTAATCATACTGGCCCTAGGCAGGTAGTCTGATGAAATCCAGGTACCCTACAGAAATAACCCTTTTACCACTGAGATTATTTCTGGGCTTTCTCTGGTCTCCAGATGAAAACCACCTCTTCAGTTATTCTTCATCACAGGCTGACAAGGAATTCTTTGCTAAAATGCAATAGCCAGCGTCCTTCCCTGCTGATGCCCTCCAGATCACTTAACACCTAAAGAAGATATTACAAGGCAAACAGATGGCTGAGAGGAGAAATTGGACTTGTGTTTAGAGGACAGAAAGGGAAAGTCCACAGCAAAGTTTCTCCACAAATTCATATGCACAAGCAGTTCCACACTGTTGGGTTAGATCCCTTGATAAAGTTTTAATGTTCCTAATTTTTATCATTTGCTTGGAATGAGTCATACTGCTTTGTGTTGCTAAGGTCCTCCTATGTGGTGTCAGAAACATCACTAAAAAATGTATATTTTCTTTCACATTACCACCATTCTAAGTATAAATAGTCAAGGGTTGGCATGGTGTCATTAAAGACATTAGGATCCCTCTCTCTTCCTAGCCATCCTTGACTTGGTGCCTCATAGTCACAAAACGACTTCTGGGGGTCCAGCCATCCACCTGCATTTGAGGCAGAAAGAAGGGAGGAACAAATAGCAAAAGAGCACATTACCCTTCAGGAAGTTTTCCTGATAATAAGGCCAATAAATGTCCTTCATTTCCTAATGGCCAGAGATTCCCAGGAAGCTAGAATATTTTTTAAAGTTAGGTATGTTTATATTATGAACAAAAATCAGAATTGTTTTAATATAAAAATTGATAAGCAACTGAGAGTTTCCTATACAAACCTTGACTCTGTAAGTTAAATTAAGGTACTATATGTGAAAAAACCACATAAGATCATCTGGATCAATTCAATTTCATCTTAACTTATTATTCCCCGTTCCAGGTTCTCATGAGGCTTGACCTGACCTCCTGACTCCAACATCACCATCTTCAAATCTGCTTTCCATGTGACTGCCCAGGTGAACTATCGGCAACTTCCCCAGTAAGAGAGATGAAGCACTGCTCCTGATTTAGCATAACCTCACCATAAAAGTACCACTCTTTTTAGTAAGCCTCCACCATGGCATGTAGCACCCCCACTTGCGGAGGCAGACTTGCCACCCCCTCTCCAGTGCTGCTGTCCTTGGCCTCGTGACTTGCTTGCCTAATGGAATGAACCTGATGAGGTAATAACAGAAACCTCTCATGATAGTGGGTGTTACTCGTGGATACCTGTAAAAGACACTTCGGCTGTGAGCCTCTTAGAAGTAGTTGGATTTATCCAGCTCCACAAACTAAACATTTAGGAGCTTGCTCTCCTTTAATCACGGTACCTGTTGGGTACCATGGAAGAGACAGCCAGAAAAGGGTTGATAAACCACCAGGATGACTGAACACCTGGCCACAGGATGCCAAAATCCCAGGTGTCTCTTTTCATGAGAACAGCTGATCTGCTTCCCATTCATGGGCTCAGTCACATGCTGTGATTAGGGCAAAGCATCCATCCCATGGAAGAAAACCTAAAGCAGAAGATACTCAGGAGTCTGTGTCTTCTGTTGCCTGATAGAGAAGGGACATACCTGTAATAACAGTCCCTGCATCGGTCACATTATTTTGACGGTTAACCCTCTTTGAGCTCTCTAGTCTACACCTCCTCAGCCTTAGCTGTATATTACAATTATCTGGGGAGTTTAAAACATGCTAATGCCTCTGCTCCTCCTGAGAGATTTCCAGTTACATCTGGGGTGCAACCTGTGCATTTAGATTTTTTAAAACTCCCCATGTGATTTTAATGTACCAAAGTTTCGGAATGACCGTTGTAAATGGTCTTCTATATCCTGTTCAGTAGAAAAATAGAAGCCATAAAAGTAAGCCCCAAATGTAATTTTAATTTTTCTAGTGGTTGCATTTTAGAAGTAATACTAATTTTAATCACTAATGTTTTATTTAACCTAACATATTCAAATGTTATCATTTCAACATGTACTCAACACAAAAATTATCAAGATTCTCCACTTTTAATTTTTTGCAAGTTTCCAAAATCTCATTTATAGCACATCTCAATTTAGACACACTCTTAAGTGTTTACCATATACATGGGACCCACTAGTCCATTAGCTACTGTATTAGAGATCACATCTAAAAACTATCATCTGAGGGGTGTCAAGATGAGGTTTACACCTGTAGTGGGATAAATAATGTTCCCATCCAAAAGCTATTCACCATGACCTAATTCCTGGAACCTGTGAATGTTACTTTTTGTAGCACAAAAAGGACTATATAGATGTGATTGTTTTAATGATCTTAAAATGGGTGATTAGCCTATGTTTTAGTTACCTTTCTCATTATTGAGAGGAAAAATACAAGAAGCCTAAAGTTAGAGAAAAAAAGGTTTATTTGGCTCGCAGCTTGTAGAGGTTTCAGTTCATAGTCGACTGGCTCCAAGGCAGGTTGGCATGGCCAAAAAGCATCACAGACAAGGAACAGCTCATGGAAGGCAGCCAGCAGCAAGCAATGAACTGCATTCTGTTACATTCAGGTCACTTGCCCTTAAGGAAGGTAGTGTTTACATCCAGGGTGGAATGCCCTTAATCCCACCAGGCACTACACTAAACCAATCAGTGGACTAATT